AAATGTCAGTTCCTTGTTTGGCAAGACCTTCCACCCCAGAGCAGCGTGGTTTAACTATAGCTCTTTTCATTTTTTTTCACTGTAACATTTGAGTTGTCCAGTTTGTCCATTTCGTCACTTGGTCTTTTCTTTTTATTTATCTCACGTTTTATTTATTCTCCTCACAATTTTTCCCCTATCTGTCCACAGTTATCCTTATAGTATACATGCTCACATCTCAATGTTCTTTCCTTTACATCTTTGCCAATAGTCTTCTGTGCTTAAATCCTTCCATTACTGCTAGATTCCTGCTCAGGAATCCTCAGGTTTTCTTCATTATAGTCGGTCTCTGATGCTTTTCTTTTCAGCCTGCATTTTCACCTCTGCTTCTGTAGCTGTATAGTGATACTGGATCATTCACTCTTTTTTAGTTTTATGCCAGAAGGTGGAAGGAGGAGGTTATGCTTCCTGCTCAGATTTGAATACTGGGCCTTCTTTGGGTATAGGCCCAGGAAGTTTCACATGAACAAAAGTTTGTAGGATTTTCTTATATGGACAACGTAGCTGACCTGGAGTGTTTGGGGCTTGTAGACACTGTAACAGAAATAAAATAGAGTATTAAGCAGAAATGCAAGACTGTTCTTATTAGTGGTAATAACACTTGCTGTCACCTTTTGGATTTAGTAGTATAAGATCTGAGAATTTTTTCTGTTGGGTTGAGAGATATGACAGATGTTAATATTAATGCTTAGTTCATGGATGTATTGTCACTCCCAAAGGGGAATTACATTCCAAATCAAGTCCTTGAACATATCCTTAGGTTTTTAAGGTATTATTTCTGGATAACTTTGTTGTGAGAAGATTGTCATCTTCTCATTTGTTGTAACTTGAAATACAATTCTCCTTAGAACTGTCACTTCTTTGAAATTGCTTTCTCTTTCTGTTGATAAGTAGATGTGCTAAAAAGTGCACATAGGAGCATTGTGGGACTTCAGTGGGATTTCTAGGTGACCACTCAGATGTTAGTTTATTGTGGCAGTATTGGTGCAAAGGTAAAAAAGAAAAAAAAAAAAAAACAACCCACAAAGCAAAACAGCACTGTGACTGTTCTCTTGCAATGAAGCTTAAAGACACAGGCTGCGTACACTACATAGCACTTGGTCTTGTACCTCCTCTGAACTCTGTCTAGTACCCAATGGAGCTCAGATTCCATTTTTATGGGGTTTTTTTCTCTTCTGATTTTATGAAATAATGTGAAAGCTGTATTACAGCAAAACAGAGCAGTGTTATCATGGCACAAAAGGAAGTTACATGCTGCATAGTGTGTGGTGTGAAGCTGTCTGGGGATGCTTAGCGATCTGCAGGCTGTTGGAATAATGTTGAAGCAATGTGTAAAGTGGGAGGAGGCAAACCTGGTGCACTCTTGTCCATACTTCCAGCTGAAAAGGGTCCCTGGTGTATGTTATTAACTCCAGCTGTGGTTGGGTGTTATGTGAGAGACTCCTACTTGGCCCAGACCAACAAAATACCAGGGCAAGTGCTAAAATTTAGCAGTGTGAAAAGTCAGCATTCCAGGGATCATACTCCCCAGCTTTGTTTTGTTTAACAAACTCCAACTGCAGGAGAGAAAAAGAGAAATTGTTAGAGAAGAGCTCTGCTAATAATCTGTAACAAGTTGCATTTCAAGGAACAGAAGCAGTTATAAATTGGATTCTGAGCAACTAGAAAGCCAGTGAAGTTTTTCATGCATAAGGGTGAAATGATGATGTGTTTTTGAGTGTTGAAAGGCAGAAGCAGCAGTCATCACCTTACATATATACTGAAAACATTAACTTCTTTTTATGCAAAATACGCATTCGTTTGAAAATCCCAACTAATCACAGATACATGAGTTTATTTCTGCTCTTGGACTGTATCTAGTGCTCAATCTGCTACCGCTTTGGCAGCTGACAGGCAGACCAGCTGAAGGTCATTTTGCATTCTATGGATTCTGTGCATTCTTTAAAACACTGAAGATTTTATCTGTGTCCTCCAGCAGTATTGGGGAAGTTCGGACTGACAGTCTAACATAAAAAAGTGGAGAGAATGGCAGATGGACAAGATATTATTTTAAAAAAGCAAATGAAAGTTTTTTACACAACATTATGTAGCAGAAAGATAAAAGAGCTGCTTAATTTACCCTCTGATTATAGCAATGTATGTGCTGAAAAATTAAAAGCCATGCAGGCAATCTACCTCTTTGTAATCTGTGTTCTCTTAGATTATTTACTTGTTTTAAGAGTATTTTAAAATAGATCACTGAGATTGTTCATGTACTGCATTTTATTAAAAGTAGAAGTCATGTATCAAAGAAGAAGCTGGTCCAAATTTGTAACATTAGACTTGGGACTTTTCTATATCTTAGAATTAGACTGGCAGAGCATAGTAAGACCTCCATGGTTGGGCATAGTCTGTAATTATGGGCTTAAGGCTACTGCTCACTCTGCTTGAGGGGAAAGTTTTCTTTATGTAATGAATGCAATCTGAATTTCAGTGATACCAAGCTTGATTTCTTCAATCGACTCAGTTATAACACAGAACACTTTACTCCCTCCTCTAGTCACAGAATAATGTGGAAATCATTTATTTCTTAACCACAAGATAATAATAAAAAAAAAAATCAGCATTACTGAGAATACCACAGTACATTTTTATAAGGTTTCACAAGACCAGTTCAAGCAATACAGAGAAGGGCTAAATTTTAACAGAGATTTTACAAAAATGAAAGAAATATTTCTGCATGTCACATGCTATAGATATATAGGAATAATTTCCAGAACCCTATATCAAAAGAAAATACTGATTTACTATTTTTTAATCACCTCTGTGTTTCGGGTTCTTCTGCAGGTTATTGAAAACACTTTTTTTATTTTGGGGGTGTGTGTGTGTGTAGTATCTGGCAACTTTGTAAGGAAAATAGTATGTTTTGTCATAGGTATGTTATAACCCCTGTGCAAATATCATTTCCACAACGTGATGATCTTACTCTGTGTCACATTTTTTCAGATAAAAGAGTTAGCTGTTCATCTCATTCTGGTTTCAGTAGGGTTCTGTAAATGGAATGAATATAAACGGCATTGTAAGTGGCTTGTGTCATGCCTCTAAAGAGGAAGTTGGCATGAATCTTGGGATTTAGTCATCAAAGGTATACCTTGACAAGAACAAGTAGAAGAAGACTTCAAGGCCTACTGCAAATAAATAAATAAATTTAAAAAATACATATTTTGCACCACCTGCAAACAAGAAGAACAAAACTTAGTGAGTTTATGGCAAACTCACCATGCTGGAGATTTCCAAGAAGATAAGTAGGGGAGGTGGAGAAGAAAAGTTGGTGAACTTCAATGCAGTGGAACCTGATGCTTAGTTCTGGACTCAGCAGCAAGGGTATCAATTACCACCTCCTTTATATTTCTTGTGTGCAACCTGTTACCAAATATATTATGTTACGTTATTATGCTGATGTGGGGCTATGCAACTGTCTTTCTCAGTACCACTGCTGGGTGATAAGCAAAAGAAGAATGTTGAGAGAAGTGAGTTAAAATGAATGCTTTAAAATTTGGCACAGAGCTGGATAGAAGGTGTGGCATGAGGAGTAGTCACCTGGTAAACAGCTTGTATCCAGTTTAAACAAAAACTTAACTCCTCCATTCAGATATACATATGGAAAGTAATCAGTCCTGTACGTTAAAATATGCCACACTGGCTTTATTGTTGCACTAGATTTTCACAAAGTGCCACAAACTTCACTTTTCCATAGATTATGATAAACTCATTTAATGCTGTAACCACAGTGGCAAGGAAAAAGAAGAAATTTTCTGGTTTGTTTATAATAGGAAGAGAAACCCAGCAGATGTATTTTTGCACTTATCACTCCTGTGTTGTTTATTAAAAAACTCAGAACCCACAACGCTGCAATTTGGAAACTGTGTAACTGTTAATCATGGGCAAGCAGTAGGAGAGGAGAACTCTTTTATTCCAATCTCTCTCTCTTCACAACTGCTCGCGTCTCTGATTCCTCACTGTCTCCAATTTTGTTTGATTTATCTGTGTGCTCTTATTCGGGGACCAGTACTTTTGAAGTGGTGGCAACAAATTGAAATTAAATTTTACACATATGAATGAAAAGATATAACTATATATTATTGTAGCATTACTTCCCCTGCGTTCTCTTTGTGCCCCTTGATGTCTTGGACTTAAAGGGATATGGGTGGCAGCTTACTATCCTAATCAGCAGCTATAAATGCTCTTGCAATGTGCGTATAGTAAGCATTAGTATTCTCATCGACTGTAATATATGCCAGATGGATCTGTAGGTTACATAATGTTGACAAAATCTTACATCACTACCTCTCCTTTGATTACTTACCTTACGTATGCCCATTTAGAAGATGTAATATCTGCTCTTCTCCCCTTCCTTTCCTTCCTTCATCCCTCTTCCCCTCCCTTCCTCCTCCTGACCTCCACCCAGCATGAATCTTTGGCCACTGTCCTTTTGGGTGTTTTCTAAAAGTTTACTTACTCTATACATATCGCAAACAGTAAAACCTGGAAGTTTTATTTTAACTTTTATGGAAGACCTTTTAACATTCTTCTGAGAATCAAGAGGATTTTATCTTATGGATGATTTCCACAACAAATATTCTCAGAATTCCAGGAATTCACATTTACAAGTGTCCCTATACTACCAACAGCATAACGTGAGATTAAAACACTTGCAGACTGGGCCCAAATTGCTTGTCAAAGTTCATGTAGACTCTAAAATTGGTACGTAAGCTTAAATAATCTTATTTATGTAATGCTAATTACTTTCCCCGGCCTCGTCTTTTTCTTTCATTGGCTGCAAATGCTTCCTGCCAAGTTTTAATTGTAGATTGTGCATTTTCACAGATTAGGACAGTGATGCTTCTTCTCGACAGGAAACAGTCAATAACATTTTTAAATTTTTGCTTCTTTAAAATTGTATTCTGGTTTTGATATTGTAGATAATACAGCCAGTATCCTGACAAGACGAAGGAGATACAGTCGAACCACTCAAGATATATATTACCTCCCAGTTTTGATTTCTGATGGTGGAGTGCCCCCTCTCAGCAGCAGCAGTACTCTCACAATTAGGGTTTGTGCGTGTGAGAGAGATGGACGAGTGAGAACTTGCCATGCTGAAGCTTTCCTCTCCTCGGCTGGCTTGAGCACAGGAGCTTTAATCGCAATCCTACTCTGTGTTGTCATTCTTCTTGGTAAGCCATTTTCAGTATTAAGTAATGCTGTCCTTCCACCGGCTCTCTGAATGTGACAGGGCAGAAATTTTTAATATGATGTGTTTTTGAACCAGAGGCTGCCTGATAGTAGGAGGTAATTATAAGCATGGAGCTGTGATTAGAGGGGAAAGGTTTAGCTAAATTAATAGGAAAAAATGCCTTTAAAGTACATTCATGGATATCTGGAATCCACTAGAAATTATTTTTCAGAGGTTATCAAGTAATTAGCACTGCAGATCTTTTTTCTGTAATTTGGAAAGATTTCAAAAAGCCACTGACTCTAATTCCATGTCTAGAACAGTGTGAAAAATGATAGAAAAGAGATGAGGAAAGCTTTTTGAAATGCATTACACTGTAAGAAGCGCCATTAGCACTGTACAAAAGCCATTTCTTAATTACCTTTGTGGGATAAGCAGATAGCAACGCACAACATAATCCACAGGGGCAAGGGACATATGAGACTATAAGATGACTCCATTAGATAAATGCCCTTGCAAGTGCATTTGCTCTTGACTTTTTTGGGTTTGGTTTTTTTTTGTTTTTTTTGTTTTTTTGTTTTTTTGCCCAGGCCAATATGAATGTTACCCATCAGTTATTTTTTTTTATTATTTTTTTTCTGGCAGAGGCACAACTTGCTGGGTACATGCTTCTGTACTACTCATGTGCCTTTCTGCATTCTTATAGAGATAGGAAGAAATAATAGGAATTGCAGTGTGACACACATCAGAGATTTGGAGGATTTTTTCCGAAGGCTCTACATTTTCTCAAGATTACTCTCCTCACAGCTTACTTCAGAACTTCTTTGTCAGAAAGCTGTTTTAAAATGTATACTAATACATTTAGTTTATAATCTCATATTTTATCATACAAGATTGCATATTCATAAGGGAAAAAATAAACATTTACATTTTGATTCAATATATATGCTAAATATTGGTTTTAATGAAGCACTGAAAGCCCTTGACAATGCTTCTGAAAAATGTCAGCCCTAATTACTCATTTCTCATTCAACTAAAAGAGCGTTATCCCCTTTTATGTCCTTTATGAGATCCCTAATAATTTAACGAGTGGATTGGGTCAAGAAATCCCAGCAATCCCCACAAAGAAATTATACAGTAGAAGAGTGCTCTTTACTGACCCTTTGGAAGACCAGGCTGTATTGGAAGTTTGTAGTTTCAGTACAGCATTATTAATTTTCCCCTTAATTGTGTGGTCTCAGCCTGCTGCACTTTGACATGTTGCTATGTCAAAACACAGCTGTCCGGATTTCATGGGTGCTTTCCAGGCATACCGTAATCTATCTTCAGGTAACACGTTACACACTAAAGGCATTGCTCACTTAGGAATGTAAGTATGCTCTTTTCCAGATTGGGCAGGTTTGGTGAAGCCTTTGTTACAGGCGCATGCCTGACGTAATGATCCGAAATACCAATATTAGCCTGAAAATATTGCACTTCTGTATTCGTGACTTAGTAACTTCTAGTTCTTTAACATGTATCTACTTACTTCAGATAAAAACTTTAAACCTAATCTAATATCTGCAGTTTTCTCTTTAGCAATTGTGGTCCTTTTCGTCACCCTAAGACGTAGCAAGAAGGAGCCCTTGATCATTTCAGAAGAAGACGTCCGGGAAAACGTTGTGACATATGATGATGAGGGTGGTGGGGAAGAAGACACAGAAGCATTTGACATCACAGCGCTGCGGAATCCATCAGCTGCTGAGGAGCTGAAATACCGGAGGGATGTTCGTCCTGAAGTGAAGCCTGCGACCAGGCATCATCCCTCCTCAAGCTTTGACAGTATAGATGTCCAGGAGTTCATTAAACAAAGACTGGCAGAGGCTGATCTGGACCCCAGCGTGCCCCCGTATGACTCCCTACAGACATATGCCTATGAGGGTCATAGATCAGAAGCTGGATCTATCAGCTCTCTGGATTCAGCCACAACACACTCTGACCAGGATTATAATTACCTTGGAGACTGGGGACCTGAGTTCAAGAAGCTGGCTGAACTCTATGGGGAAATAGAATCAGAAAGAACAACTTAGTTGTAATTCCCAGAACAGAGAAGTTCCTAAACGACTGGAGATATGATGAGAGCAACGGTAACAAAAAAATGAATGCAGTACTTGGAACTGAGCAAGTTGTATGCAGTTACTGTACAACAAGTGCCCTTTTCATATTTGAAACTGGGTTCTCCAATTGGAAGAAAGTCAAATTTTGAAAAATACAGAAAAAAGAAGCTATTGTCCCTTGTGTATATTTTTTAATTGCTCAATAAAGTCCGTGGTACCGTATCTGTAACAATACCTAAAGTAAATCCAAGCAATGAGATTTTTATTGCAATATGCTTAACATCTCCAAGCTACAGTAAGTTTATGGTCATGCCTGTTTAGGAAGATAGCTAACAGAGGGGCAAATATTTGCAGGTGGTTGTGGTGTTGCATTTCTAGCTGTGCTCCAGGCCTTGTGATCCCCGTGTGAGGTAGCCAATGGGGTTTACTATCAGTGTGAGAAGTTCTGACAGTCTGTTTCCTTTACAGAAGGGATAAACCACACATGTCCTCTTAAGTAAATGGTCCTTTGATGATTTAATCTTGTTGGATTAGAAGGTTGCATTGAGATAGTGTCATTTCATTATGTCCTTCATAATCGTGTCATCCATAACCAGCTGACAGAGGGAGAGCATCATTAGCTGTTAGCCAAACACGGCTCTAGCCCATAACCCCAGACCTGCTCTGTTGCTGCGTGCTAGAGGAACTGTTGTTTCCAGTGTTGTGCTTTTCCTTTTTGTCTTTTCATGGGAACATCATTCATTTAAATGGAATGGGTCCAGAGTACTCGTTATGCAGTGAAGCAGATGAAACATAGGCTATTTCGATAAAAAGCAGCAACAGCAGCGCCATTAAACTATGCAGTGGTTTGGTTCACTGTGCTTCACTTATGTCAATAGACGAAGCTTTTCAAGTCTTTTGCTTGTCTGAGTCCAGGAGCTACTACAGTCAGTTTAAAACACAGAGTTCTTAATCATAATGTCTCTATTTCCGTGTGTGACTAAAAGCAAAATAGAGCTGCTGGTAAGACATTGGAATAGGGAAAATTGAAACAAAGAGAATAAGATGATGATGCTTTTTTCTTTTTAGTTCAATTTACTGGTATATAATTTCTCTTAGAGTAATTTCCATTTAAGCGGAGCAAGCTTTTTTCTCCCTATTTCAAGCATCATGGGAACAGGAACATTTTAAGTCAGTGGAGGAAGAAAAAATTAAAATGTACCATTATTGTGGTTCCTATAGATTAAATAAATTGATTTCTCATGTAACTTTTTAGCATTGCAGAACTGCTTAACAATTCTGCTTAGCATTGCAGGCAGTTTAACACCTAATCCAGCAGATTCTTATGTTTTCCTTTGTTTTGTTTGAAATGTTAATCTTTTGTTTGTCTTTCTTGTGATAATAGTATGAGAGGACCAGGAGCTCCTAATATCGCGGGAAAGATTATGACCTATAAGGCTCACCGTCTATTGCAGTCTTCTACTCCTGAGAAAATTGTAGCTCCAGTTAGGGAAGTGGACACCTTGCAATATGTGTTTGATAGGGAAACTGTCCACAAGCAGAAGCTGTTTACTGGTTTTTTACTTTCTGGGCTGGTGTGGAGAGTGATACAGATCTGCCCACTCCACTAGATTCCTCCCTATGCATTCTAGGTGCCATTTACCTTCAGGTTAGTAGAGAAGGGAGTACCTTTTGCTCCTCCAAGCAGGGTCTGTGTTTGTTGCTGACCTACTGTGGGCCACACAGGTGAACCAGATTATTAATCCTTCCCTTTACTGTTTAATTGGGTAGGTCCTAGACATGACTGAAACTTCTCATCAGTTCTACTTTGAGGATTTTATTTTATTTTATTTTTTATTAACACCTTCCTAAGATGTTGTTGACTGCTTTGGGTTTAAATAGCCTTTGGGAAAAATTAGCAAGTAGTTTTACAAGAAACTTTTCAAACTCTAAGAAGTGTTACTTGCACTGTAGTTCCAGAATTGTTTTTTACTATACTGTTTTGTTTGCAACTTGAAAATTGTAATGTTCCCCTCTGCAATTTAGAGGGGAAGAAACCCTGAACTCTAAAACGTTCTGCTGATTATCTGAAAGTAGTTTCATAATCTGTGTTCAGATATTTTTATTTTTATTTTTATCAAATACAGGATTTTCTAGAAATGCATTTAAGGAGACGTTCATTGTAGAATAAAGTTAAACAGATGCTTTAATGCAGTAAGAGCTGCTCAAGCTGAGAATGGTTTATGCGTTGTCCTTTTTTGGGGGTAGAGTTAGGATATGTTTCAGTTTTGTCCCAAAAGAAGCAAGTAGTAGTACAGGATTTTGAGGAGAAATTTTCTTTTTATTTAGATTGCGCTTGCTTTATGCCAACTTCTAAATTTTTATATTGTAGGAATAGAGTGCTAAGAAGAAAATCTTTCAGTATTAGTAATACCATGGGCCATAATACTTTGTACCACGTCTGCATGAAAACTGCATTCACAGTTGTATTATAGCTTTGAGAGCCAGGTATTAGTTATTTTTATGTCTGTTCCCTCTGGCCCTACACTGAAGCAGAGAAAATCAATTGTATTTTGTGCATTAAGCAATGTTCCCACCATTGTTTTCTTTTTATTTGCATCATTCAGGCTAAAAGCCTGAACATTCAGGCTAAAAGCCAACAGACGTGCAGTGACATAAGCAAATAGTCACTCCTTATGCTCATGTTCTGATTAAGTTAATGAGAGAAGGAGGTCATATCTCAGAGAAATAATCACTTTTCCACCATTCCTCGTGCTCTCTTTTCTGCTGTACATGCATCATACCCACAGCCCCAGGAATCCTGAATCCTTTAAAACTCTGCAGGGTTATTGAGACGCTGCTTCAGTGATGCTGCAGTGTGTCCTGTTTGGTATGTCCTATCCACAGTGATCCCCAAATGTGCTTTTCTATCATGATACGTCTGCATGTTTGCTATGCTTACTGTTTTTTACTCAAATATACATCACAGTGCCGTGTTGTTTGCATGACAAATAGCGGAATATTAAATCTTCAGGGCTATAGAAAAAGGCCTCATGGTACAGAAAGAACAGATTTACAGATTTCTTTTCCTGATCCCACTGATTTTTCCTTTAGTCCTTTGCATCCTAGAAAAAAATTTAAACTATTTTTTTTGAGAATTTCTATGTTAACATTGATTAAACTGGAAGAAAATTAACACTGTGTGCCATGGAGGGCACGATCATTTTGTAGCATTGCTGATTTAAACAAAGTATACATTCAGTGAAAGTATTGTGGGAAACTCTTTAATAGTTTATGGTTAAGTCTGATTGTATAGACTTTGGTTAAAGCTTTCATGGATCTTCTGTGTACTCATATTCTCAAATATTTTGCTATTAGCCTAAATAGTAATCCTGCTGCTGCTTAACAACTAAACGCTGGAAACTGCCAGTTTTACTTAAACTGAAAGATACTGACTAAAGTGAAATGGCACATACAAAGTGGTGCTTAAGGGCTTTCCAATTTACAATTTTATTTCTGCAACAGCTATTCAACTAATAGTACATTTACACTAAATTAATTGGTCGCACTCCTTCAAACAAACCCTCTTTCTTGTAATGGTGAGGGCACTCAGTATGCTATAATCTTGACACGTCATCTGAGGAAATGGTCTGTTTAAGCATTTGAAAATGTAAAAACATATTGTCAACCTAAAAACAGTCAAAAATTGAATTTAATACACTTTAAAGACAAGGAAGAGCTTGAATTCAACTGGCACTAGATTAAGGTTCATACATGGAAAACAAATTAATTTGTGTATCAGTGTTGCCATTTATTGCATACACATTGAAGACTGTAAATGTTGAAAGTCGTTTCACTTTGTTATGCACTTTATTTTTTGCATTCCTCTTAGAAAACCAAAATAATTGTAACCGTTTTTGGTTTTGAATTCTAATTGATGCAGTTGTTTAAGTTGTAAATACTGCGAGAAATATCTGTGAAAACATTCTCACTGGTATTTAAAAGGAATTATGAAATTTCTGTGGTCTAAGGCTTTGTAAAATCATCCTTTAGAAAATCTGAATATTGGACCAGTCTGGAGTTAATCAAACTCATAGACTCAATCAAAGGGTAACAAAGAGAATGTTCTAAATGAAGAGAAGAATATGAAATTATGCTGCCTAGGGTTACTTTGTGGATTATAAAGTGCTAAGACCTTGTACTTGCAGTTCTTATAAATGGCACAGTGCATTCTAAGGAACATTAGGAGCGTGTTGCAAGTATTGGGCCATCCTTATTTTTCCAAAGTCTCCAAATATATATATATATTTTTTAACAAAAGAGTAATGTAAAGCATACCTCCTTATGCAAGTGTTACTGATAGAAATTGTTACGTTTTGTTTTAATAAACAAAAGGGACAAAATCTTTTATTCGTATTTTTCAAATAAAATATGCTCTTTGCTATGGTGATGGGCTATTGTATTCCTCATCACAACTAGAACGGGTTATTTTCTCTTTACTCCTGTATTTTATACTCAACAAAGAAATATAACTATCTAAAGGCACTCTGTCTTTAAGAATGAGGTGTTATACAGCAGTATTAATGAGGTCAATATCAGAAATGGTATGGTAACTTTAACTAGATTTTAATGGCTGATACAGACACTCAGTTGTGTCACTATTTCAAAGGCTGCCTTACACGATTATTGCTACAGATGGGTAGGGAGAGAGAGAAAGAGACACCAAGAGATACTTTGCAACAGACTGCAGTATAACTGCTAAATGGTTCATTACTTTTACTTGTGGCAACTATACCACTCCAACCATCACTGTTCCGAAACTGAAATACAGCGTTACCGGATGAATACATTATCCACATGAGTGAGTTAGGGAATTGCACATCTATGAATCCAGATTGGTGGTGACAGCCGGGGTTATTATCCTAAATTGACACAGAATAGAAGACAAAAAATAGGCAAGGACATTCACAATGATCAAGCTGAGGCACATGCAG